AAGTTGCAACTATCATAATAGTTGTAATTAAAATAAAAGTTGCAACTATTATAAAAGTTACAATTATAATAAAAGATACAACTATTATAAAAGTTGCAACTTTAAATTAGTTAAAATTTTATTTAAATTTTTAAAAAGTTGTAATTAGTAATTATAACTTATGAGTTGCAACTTTTTAATTATAGTATCAACTTTACTAAAAACCATTGAATCATTTGCTGATTAATGATAAATCACAAGTATATCTAAAGATAATAGATTCTGTGAAAGCTAATTTTTGAATTCTTAAATGTCTTAAGAAAAGTTAATGATATTCCCCTATATCTGATTTGTTTTTTATAGAGTCAATATACTGTTATAACAGTAAACATTTGCATTATAAACATTTCTTCAACTTCTGTCAGTTCTTTAAATTCGTCAAAACATCATATAGATTTATATTATTTTCTGCAAAAAATTTATTAGGTACCATCTTTTCCATGTAACATCGCTAACACTTTCCCATTATGAGAGATATTGATAATATTTGCTTATTATAAATAGGATATGATGAGTATTAAATATTATCCTTTTTTGTGAAAGTTTTGCAATATCTGATATTCATCTTCACTAATTGTTTGTGCTGCTTTTGGTCTAATATTAGTTTCTTTTACTCTTTCTTAATATTCTTCAGCTATTTTATGACGTTTTTTGGCTATTTCTTGACATCTTTGAAGTCATACATCACATTTTTGCTCACTTTTATGGTTAAGACAGATTTTACGTTCCTCAGATATCTCTGTTAAATTTCTTTGTGCTCTACGTTCACGATCATTTGCAAGTCGCGCATTATGCTCTTCCTCAGTTTTATTAGTTTTTTTTTGCATTTTTTTTTGTGATTACATTCTAGACGTGTCTCAAAGTTAGTACTTCATTTTCATTGTATAGTGAATTTAAATGCAAAAATTTTAAGCAATTTTATTTAATCTTTATTATTTGAATAGTCTAAGAACTTGCTGTTGTCAAAAGTAACTTGAATTATTTTCAGCATTCCAAAAGGAGAAAAATTAAGGAAAAATAACTGCTTCAGTTTAGCAAATTGATTGTTTTTGTTAATTATTTTTTAGGAGAAATCTCATTTAAATAAAGAAGATATTATTAAAATAGGAAGTTGAGTTAGAGGTGAAGAAGTTTTAGTGGAAAAATTAACTTTAGAGATTAATTCAGGAGGCGAAGAAGCTGAAGAACTACTTTTTTGAGAACTCTTTAAAGAAAAAGCCTAAAAATTTACTAATTCTTTTTTCTATAATTTAAATTAAAATTATAACTTCCTATTTTTTGGTCTTTTTGCTGAGTTTTTCAGTTTTTAAAGTTGTTTATTAGTTTATTTATTACTTTAGTTTTTTTCTCACAACATTGGTAACCATAACAGCAGGCAGTTTTGCTAATAATAGTTATATTAATCACTTTGCTAAAAAAAGTAATAAGGTATTTTATTTCTAAGTTGCTATTCTGTTAAAAAAAAGAGTGTATGATACTAGTTGACTAAATATAAACTATTGATAGAGATAAGTTTTTGAATAGAACGAAAGGGAGAAGTTTTATTTTTACTTACTTTTAATATTAATTTTATTAATTCTTAACAATTTCCTGAGAGGAATACCAGAATTTTTGACACTTGTAAAAAATCTTTTTAATTAAGGTTCCTCCAGAGTTTAATAAAATTCAGTATTTTTGTTTTAGGAAGATTTAAGTAAGAAATTAGGAAAGATAGTGGGGTTATAGTAAATAAAACCTTCAAACTAAAAAACTAACTAAAATCAAAAAAGTTGGTGCCTTTTTAGTGGAAAAACTATACACTGATTTAGCCAAACACAAATCAAATATTATGAATACTTTATTATGAATATAACTCTATAAAAATTGAAAAACAGAATCTTCGTAAAATTAAATCTTATTAACTAAAATATTAAGTATAATATTCTTCTATTTATATGATTAAAATTCTACCCTTTTATATTATAAAATCTAAATAATAAAAGAACAATTAAAGCAAGAACAATTAATATTTAAAATTTAATATTAACAAATTGGTAATTAAACAATTAAGTAAACAAATCTTATTGTTTTAAATTAAATTCTAATTTTTTGAAGTATAACAAAGTGACACTTTGTCTATCAGTTACACCTTTGATCAGGTAATGATCAGCATCTTACTCTGGAGTTTTCCCATAAGTATTTTTTACATTACAGAAAGTCAGGATTAATTTTAATTAAAATTTAGCATAATCACTTGATATACTATTTATCGAATTTGATTGGTTAAGTTCTTAGCTTCAGACTTAACAACAGTAAACTGTTTTCTAGTTTAATTATAGATTAATTATTACGAAACTTTATAATTTCTTTGAATTTGCATTTTATTATACTTAATATTTAATAAAGTTTTGTAAACTATCACATTTTAAAAAAAAATTATTCATTTTAATATTAAGTTAAAGTATTATAAAAATTTAACTAATTAAAGTTATTATATTATAGATTAATATAACGCAAAAATTTCAATTTTGGTGAAAAGATCTTGAGTCCCATTTTTCTAGCAAACCTTTCAAATATGCTTATCTCAAGAGTGTATGATCATTAGATCAATTTCTGCATGTTTAATAATAAATAGGATCTTGTAAACATTTATTAAATTTATGTTATGTTTTTGTTAGTTCAACAAAGTTTGTGTCAAAATTTGAAAAGTTTAAAATTTATTAAATTTAAGTCACATTGAAGGGAATTAACATAGTATGTGGCAAATATTTTTGTCTTTATTTGTTATTTACCATTGAGAGATTAGCACTATGTCATTATATTTTGCATTGCAAATTTTGTTTTACTATAGGTTTGTTTAGTTCTTCAACAATTTTGTTCAAGATTGAATAATTCTTTTCTTTGTTTTTCACTTTAGATTTTGACTTTTATCTAAAGAAGAAGTTGTGATTCTTATACGTTTATTAGAATTTTATTCATTATAATGTAACTTCAAAAATTAATTTAACTATTTTGGGCAGTCAAAAATACATTAATGTTTTTATTAAAGGTTTATTTTTGTTAATTGTCATTGTTATTTATATTACATTATCATAATATCAAACTTCTCAATTTTTATTATTATCAGAGCATAGATATCGTGATTGTTTAATAAATTGTCTATAAGATTGTTTAGATGTTAATTTATAATTTATATTCAATTTTCATTTTTATTTTTATCATAACTTATATGGTCCCATGATATATTAACAAACATTTAATTTTATTTAAGACGAAATTGAAAGATTTATCGTAAAGATCATAATGATTCCCTTAAGCACCAATTTACAGATAAGCGTAATAAAAATGTAATCAAAAAATTATATACTATAGAATCAATTGAAAAACATACGAAGCTTATATTACGTGAATAATGATAATAATTAGTTTAATAATGTAAGTTGGTGCTATATTATATACATATATACAATACCGTATTCCTCCGAAAATAAGCACCGCGTGATATATATGAATTTTTTAGAATATACGTGACGTGACAAATAATATAATAAATTCCATGTGACAAATAAATAAATTACTATAAAAGGAGCGTGTCACGGGGTGCTTATTTTCGGGAATATACGGTATCAGAAATGCTAATTAATCTAAAACGAAAATAAATCATTTACTTTAAAAAAAAAAAAAGCGATAATGCAAAGAATTAAATGCTTAAAAACGTCACTTTGCTGTGAAAATAATTTTTTATTAAGTTATCTTTTTACGTTAAAATTTCAATACAAATAGAATATCTTAATCTGTTAAATTATCTAAAAATGTTAACAAAACCTATATATATATATATATATATTTATATTTATATTTAAATATATACAACTCTAATTTTCAGAATTAACTTTAGCACCTTCAATGTCAGCTAAAACCATTTCTTTTACAAGAGAATCAAAATCAACTTTTCGTTTCCAACCAAGAAGATTATGAGCTTTAGCAGGACTACCAAGTAATAAATCAACTTCAGTTGGCCGGAAATATTTTGGATCAACACGAATTCTAATTGTTCCAGTTTCTTTTTCTCTACCAACAATATCTTCACCTTCACCTTCCCATACAATGGTTCTACCTATTACAGCAAATGCCTTTTCACAATATTCTCTTACTGTATGAGTTTCTCCTGTTGCAAGGACAAAATCATCAGGCGTATCTTTTTGAAGCATTAACCACATTCCCTCTAAAAATATAATTTTAAAATGAAAAGTGAGATTTATTATTATTTTTTTTATTTTTATCTTTGTAAATTATTTATTACTAACCAACATAATCCCTAGCGTGACCCCAATCACGTTTAGCATCAACATTACCAAGCCATAAACATTCTTGTTTGCCCAAAGAGATTTCAGCCACAGCACGTGAAATCTTACGGGTTACGAATGTACGACCACGACGAGGAGATTCATGATTAAATAGAACACCATTACAAGCAAACATATTGTAAGCTTCACGATAATTAACTACAATCCAATAAGCGTACAATTTGGCAACTCCATAAGGTGAACGAGGATAGAAAGGAGTGGTTTCTGATTGAGGTGTTTCCACAACTTTACCGTAAAGTTCAGAAGTGGAAGCCTAATGAATTTTTTTTTTTTTAAAAAAAAAAAAATTAATTTAATTAAATAAATATTTTATTTTACTTTTATTTTTATTTACCTGATAAAATCTAACGTGTTTAGTTAAACCAACGGTTCTAATGGCATCCATCAAACGTAAAGTACCCAACCCATCGACATCACCCTGAATAATAACGAGAAAAAAACAAATTTAATATAATAATTTAATTTAATTTAAAAAAAATTTTTGTATTATTATTTAATTACTTACAGTATATTCGGCCATATCGAATGAAACCTTTACATGAGATTGAGCACCCAAATTGTAAATTTCAGTTGGGAGTACCTGAGAAACAATGTGGACAAGATTAGTTGAATCAGTCAAGTCACCATAATGAAGAACCATATTGGGATCTTTATCGAAAGAAATTTAAAAATTATAATTAGAATATATATGTAATTCAATTAGCTCGGCAATAAATTATTTTATAGGACAAAAATTCAATTCCGAAGCAAATTACGAATCAATTAATTCATTTATGATACAACTCACGTTCATGCTGGTCTTTATATAAATGCTCGATTCTTCCTGTATTGAAAGACGACGATCGACGAATGATACCATGAACGGAATATCCCTTTTCTAAGAGGAACTCGGTTAAATAAGAACCATCTTGACCAGTAATACCTTATTACATAAATTTGTTTCCAAAGAAAATTATTTGCACATCAAATTTAATGAATAAAGGAGACATAAAACTTGTTATATCATTTGATATCAGCATAAAAGCCACCATTAGAAGATATTAGAACATGCAAGTTCCGAAAGTGAAAAAATACCAGTTATCAAAGCAACTTTTCTCTTTCTATATTCTTCAGGAGAAAGAGTAAGGACTTCAAGAATGTTTTTTGATACAACGGTAGACATTATTATAATGATTTATTTTGTTTAGTTAAAACTTTCTAAATGTGTAATATTAATGGTTAAAACCATTGTTTTTGAAATATCAGTTACTATAAATTTTTCACGATGTAAAACTTTTAAAGATATATATATTTACCAATAGAACTAATTAAAGGCACAGTATTTCAGTAATTACTGAAAAAGTTTTTGAAATAAAATTTGAAGGTCGGAGAATTAAAATCCAACGATGAAAAAAAAAAAAAAAAAAAAATTGGACAAGGTCCAAATTATATAAACAATCAAATCAATCTTAAAAGATTTATTATGATAAATATTTTGCAAATCATGTCTAAAAATAATTTGATTAAATATATCTTCTAAAAATTTATATCAGCCGCATTAACCATGTCTAATTCTTCAAAATCGAAGAGGGTTATGATGATGATGACACATATGGGTTATGGACTAGCAAAATGTACCTCCGAGGAAATATCTTACTTTTTTTAGTAAATTACAGATCAACATAAAATTACCTTATTTTTTTAACCCATGAATTTAGTTTATTTTTAGCATAAAATGCAGTATGTCGATCAATTTCAAAATTGTTTGTTTGTCAGACACAATAAACTTT